CCTGCTGCTGGCCTCCGCCTCGCAGCGGCCCGTCCTCTTCCAGTGGCGCGCAGGCCGCTTCGAGCGCCGCACCGACATCCCCGAGGCCGAGGGCGTCTACGCCGCGCGCCACTTCCACGCCGCCGGCCAGGTGTTCCTGTGCCTCACGCGCTTCATCGGGGACTCCATGGTAAGGGGGGTGGGGGGGCTGCGGCTGGGGGAGGGGCGATCGCGGGGCCCGGACCCCCCAGCAATCCTACACCCCCCAGCAATCCTACACCCCCCCAGCAATCCTACATCCCCCCCAGCAATCCCACATACCCCCCAGCAATCCTACATTCCCCCCCCCCAACACACTTCTGACCTGGCCTGGGGGAGCCCAGGGGCTGCTTTATTTTTTATCCTTCCGGTGCCAAGGCTAGGATTTGAACTCAGGGCCTGAGCTCTGTTCCTCAGCTCTTTCACCCTGCCCCTTTGAGCTACTGCAGCTCCACCCGCTGGGTTTTCCAGGTGGTTCACTGGAGATCAGAGTCTCACGGCCTTTCCTGCCCCAGCTGGCCTCAAACCACCATCCTCAGATCTCAGCCTCCCTGAGTGGCTGGAAGGCATGAGCCACCGGTGCCACCAGGCTTTGGGTGTTACCTTTGGACTCTGAGTCCACCTCCACCACAGTGACCCATCAAAGCTGGTGGGCCCTAAAAGATTACCCCCCAGGATTATATTCTTATTTATTTATTTATTTATTTTGTCACTCATGGGGCTTGAACGCTGGGCCTGGGCGCTGTCCCTCAGCTCTTCAGCTCAAGGCAAGTGCTCTGCCACCTTAGCCACAGCGCCACTTCTGGTTTTCTGAGTGGTTGATTGGAGACAAGAGTCTCACGGTCTTTCCTGCCCGGGCTGGCTTTGAACCACCACCCTCAGATCTCAGCCTCCTGAGTAGCAGGGGTGACAGGCAGGAGTCATCAAGCGCCTGGGCTGGATGGTGACTTTTATAAAGCTAAGGATGCTCTGGGAATGTGGGGGGCTCCTGTCTGGCTCCCCAGCTGCCCCGGGCTGAGCCAGCTGCACTGCCCACCCACAGGTCATGCGCTGGGACGGCTCCATGTTCCGCCCCCTGCAGCTCCTGCCGTCCCGAGGCGCCCACGTCTTCCAGCCCCTGCTCATCGCCAGGGACCAGCTGGCCATCCTGGGCAGTGACTTTGCCTTCAGCCAAGTCTTCCGCCTTGAGCCCGAGCAGGGGCTCCTGGAGCCGCTGCAGGAGCTGGGCCCCCCAACTTTGCTCTCCCCCAGGGCCTTTGCCCACGTCACCTTAGCCGGCAAACACTTCCTCTTTGCCGCCTGCTTCAAGGGCCCCACGCAAATCTACCAGCACCACGAGCTGGACCTCAGCGCTTGAGCTAGCTGGGCCCTGTTCCCACCCAACCTGCACAGTGCTGGGGGATGGGGGCTGGCGAGGGGAAGCAGGCTGCGTCTGGGGGCGTGGCCTGGCAGGCTAGAACCAATCATCAACCATAGATCCAGCCTCAGCCAGGTGGAGGATTTGCCCCGCTGGGGAAAATGGAGAATTGCTGCCTGCTGCGACTTTGCAGCTGGGCAGATGTCCCCCTCTGCCTGCCCCCCCCCACCCCGGGCTGACTGAAAGAGGGGGGCAGATCCCTCTACCACGAAGATGACTTGAGGGGGAGCTTTACTTAGAGTCACAATACAGTGGGGATGGGGGAATCTGAGGGGTGCTCACGTAAAGGTCTGAAAGCACCCAACTCAACTTGACCTTGTGAAAGAACCAGGGAATGCTAGGCGCCGGCTGGTGGCTGGTGGCTTGTCATCCTAGCTACTCAGGAGGCTGAGATCTGGAGGATCGCAGTTCGAAGCCAGCCCAGGGCAAGAGAACGCCATGAAGACTCTTCTCTCCAATGAACCAAAACAAGCCAGAAGACATGGATCTGTGGCTCAAAGGGGCAGAGCAGATAATGCTAAGGGACAATGGCCCCCAAGCCTTGAGTTCAAGCCCTGGTTCTGGCACCCATTAAAACACAAACCACCACAACAAAAAGAATACGGTCCTTGCCTCTGAACTCATTCTGGCCAATGGCTTTCGGGCTGGCCTTTGTGCCGTCACCGTTGCTGGGCAGTGCTGCTGTACGTCCAGGGGTTCAGGCCCAGTGGGAAGAGGGAGATGGAGCTTTGGGTACCCTCTCCCGAATACGGGGGAGGGGGTAAGACAAGTCATACGGATTTGACAAATGTGCCGGCACCCCCCCCTTGCCCATGGTTGTGGGGTCCTGGGAGGGACCCTGGGGACAGGGGGGGGTCTCGTGAACGGTTTTCTGGTTTCTGTGTGAATGGTTCATTGGACATAGACTCTCACAGATGTTCCTGCCTGGGCTGGCTTTGAACCTCGACCCTCTACGATCTCAGCCTTCTGAATAGCAAGGATGACAGGCGTGAGCCACCTGCGCCTGGCTCCGAGTTTTCTTTTTCTGAAATCTTGTCTGTCTCCAGGGCCTAGTAGAGGATTCTTTTGGGGGTGAAATGTTTGGAAAAGATTTGGGAGAGGGGATGAGAACATTTGGGAAGTCTTCCTTGAGTATTGGGAGCTTTGAGGTCCCCTGGGGTTCTCATGTCCCCTAGGGCCACCCTCAAGGGGTGCGGTGGGGAATAATTCTTCACCTCCTGGTCCCCAGCCTCACCTCCCCCCCGCCCCCCGCCTTGTGCACCCGCACAGAGTTGCCAGACCTCCTGGGTGGCAATCAAGATCACATTTTATTCAAAACTAAACAGACAGCTCCTTCCTAGGAGAGCTGAGGGGAGAGGGGGACATGCCAGCCTGGGTGGGGGACTTCTGCGCAAGGCCAGGACCTGGGACAGAGGCCCTCCAGGCCGTTTCCGGTGAGCCGTCCTCAGCAGCTGTGGGCAGAGCCTGGGAGAGGTGAGGGAGGATGTGTGGAGTTCTACCTCCCCAGGGCACCGGCAGGTACACGTATGCAAATGAACGTGCCCGTATGCAAATGAACGCACGCTATGTAGGGGAACTGCCACACATGCAAATGCCAGCACACACAGGCAAACGCTGCAACCCATATGCAAATGAGCTCACGGTATACTCCTCCCCACTGGCCATACAGGCCAGTGCTGCACCCCCTGTGCAAATGAGCACACACACACACTCAAACTGATGGGCACATACCCGCACGCACACGCAAGTGTGCTCCCTCCCATGCCAATGCAAGCACAGGCACACAAATGCTCAAGTACACAGGCAAATACATGCACACATGCAACTGACTGCCATGCACCCCTACCCCTCACTTCCGGCTCCCCTCCCCACCAAGCTGTGTTGTCTTACCTGGAGTGATGAGGGGCGGGGCGTCTCCTGTGCCAGGACTGGGGAAATCAAAGAGGTTCAAATCCATCTCCTCTCCCATCTGGCTGTCTGGCTGTCCTCTCCCTGTCCTAGCTGGTTCAAGGCTAGGCAATTCTCAGACCATCCATACAATGGCTACTTTTCCCTTGTTGATTTACCCAGAGCTGGGATGGGACCATTTCTGAGTTTGGAGACTTTGGGATTTTTTTTTTTTTTTTCTCTACCACTTGAGTCCCAGCTCTATTTCCAGCATTGTGCTGGCTCACTGGAGATGAGTCCCAGACACTTTCCTGACCAGTCTGGCTTTGAACTAAGATCCTCAGGTCTCAGCCTCCTGGGCAGCTAGGATGTCAGGTGTGAGCCATGGGTGCCTTGCTGGCTTCCCTGTCATCCAGGATTTGGGGGAAGTGTGATTTTTCCCAACGTTTTCATACCCAGAATCCACCTTACCTGGGCTTCTGTCTGAATTTGCATTTGCATTTTCCACCTGTTGGGGGAAGGAAGGGTGGTCAGGAGAGCAGACTCCTCCCCATCTGTCATGCAACTCTCCTGCTCCCAGATCTGTGTGTTTGTTATTTCTATGGGTTGTGGGGCTTGAACTCTAGGCCTGGGCACTGTCCCTCAGCTCAGCAGCTCAAGCCACAGCCCTGCTTCCGGTTTTCTGGTGGTTCCTTGGAGATAAGAGTCTCACAGACTTTCCTGCTTGGGCTGTCTGAACCTCGATCCTCAGATCTCAGCCTCCTGAGTAGCTGGGATGACAGGCGTGAGCCACCAGTGCCTGACTGGAGCTAAGGCTGGTACTCACTCAGGAGGATGATGATGCCCAGGGCGCACAGGACCCCCGCACAAATAAGCCCACCGACTCGAAGACTGTGCCAGTCTAGGGAAAAAAAATGGCAGAAGGACACTTCAAGGTCAACCCAGTCTCCACCATCCCAAATTCTCAGGGCCTGCTGGGAGTCATAGCAATAAGAGAGCAGGTAAGGCAAGTGTTCACAGGCAAGTTTACACCCCAAACAAACAAAAGTATGTCTTGTCTGGTCAGGCAGAGATACGCAATCAGCTTGAGGGCAAAAGGTAGAGAAGGAGGCTTCTAGAACAGACCCTTTGAGACCTTCTGATTTGTCAGGAATGATTTGCCAGAGGCCAGCAAAGGAATCCTGTATGGATTTGAAAGAAAGCAGTTGGAGCAGAAGAACTAGCAGATACAAAGGCCCTGAGGTCAGTGGCCCTGGGCTGGGCCACAGGAGGCCGTGGTGGCTAGAGCAAGGGTGAGAGGTTATGGGAGGGGATAGGGGGACCCCAGGGGATGAACAGTGGAACTTGGTGGGGGAGGGGCAGAAGCCGGTCAGGGCAGGTTCTTCCCAGCCCCAGGAAGCTTTCTTAAGTCTACCATCTACTTATCCAGTCTTCTTCAAGGCCTGATGACCACCTCTAGAGCAAGTCCCTGGGTCCCAGCCCAGCCCACCCCCGCCTGCAGCCCTTGAAATAATGTGGGTTTGTAGGAGGCAAAGTGGGGGGATAGAGGGACACAAATTCTCACCATAGTAGAAGGGGCTGTTTTTATCTGCAAGGAAAAAAAAAAAAAGACCCATGAATCCAGTCGTGGGTGGGGGAAGCCTCCAAGGGAAAGTTCCAGAGAAAGAAAACACATTCAAACTCACCTTCAGGATCATTAGCATCCAGGGCAGGCAAACCTGGGGAGGGGGGACAAGCAGGAAGGAGGAGAAATGATAATGATGGCCGCAGCAGAGCCCATAGGCCCTGAGCATCCACAGAGGGCCTCCTTAAAGGAGGGGAGAGGAGAGGAGGACAGATCCTACCTCAAGGGAACAGAGCAGCTGCCACAGTGCCAGCCATCACGCCCCCCAGCCCCACACCTGTGAGTCACCGCAGATTTTCGCTACCTGAAATAGGTAGTAAATTTGTTCCATTTGTTTCTAGACCCAAGGCCAATCCAGGCCTAACAGAGACCAGGGGGAGAGACAGATGGTTCCCATTCTTAGGGAATCTGTTTCCTTCCCCACCCTCACACCACCCTGCCATTACTAGCTGGGCCCCTCCAAAATGAATCACTTTCCTGACCTTCAATCCCCTTTCATGCAAGATGTGACTTTGTTTACCCCGGCCTCCTCAGTGGAATTATATTAAAAACACAAAACAAGGGGCTGGGAAGGTGGCTCAGTGGTAGAGTGCTTGCCTTGCATGCATGAGGCCCTGGGTTTGATTCCTCAACACCACATAAACAGAAAAATCCAGAAGTGGCGCTGTGGCTCAGCTAGCCTTGAGCTAAAGAGCTGAGGGACAGTGCCCAGGCCCAGAGTTCAGGCCTCACAATTGAACCCCCAAAATAAATAAATAATATATATATGTAGCCAGGCACTGATGGCTCATGCCTGTAATCCTAGCTACTCAGGAGACTGAGATCTGAATATCATGATTCAAAGCCAGCCCTGTGGGGGGGAGGGGGGAGGCTGGGAAGGGATGTGAAGGGTAAACCAAAGGAGGAGGCTGCAATGCTTGGTAAGAAATGTACGCATTATCCTGCCCATGTATTTGTAACCCCTCTGTACAGTATGTTCACAAATAAAAAATAAATAAATAAATAAAAAACAACAAAGCCAGCCCTGGCAGGAAAGTCTATGAGTCTCTTATCTCCAATCAACCATCTGAAAACTGGAAGTGGCTCTGTGGCTCAAGTGGTAGAGCACTAGCCTTGAGCTGAAGAGCTGAGGGACAGCGCCCAGGCCCAGAGTTCAAGGCCCACAACTGACTAAATAAATTATATATATATATATATATATATATATATATGTACACACACACATATACACAGACATATGAATTCTGTCAAGCCGGTGCTGGGGCACATGCCTGTAATCCCATCTATTCAGGAGACTGAGAAGTGAAGATTAAGGTTCAAAGCCAGCCCCTCAATGTGTGTGTGTGTGTGTGGAGCCTCCAAAAGTTCTGTGAGATTCTTTTTGTTTTGTTTTTTTGGGGTCCGGTTGTGGGGCCTGAACTCGGCCTGGGCACTGTCCCTCAGCTCTTCAGCTCAAGGCTAGCGCTCTACCACTTGAGCCACAGCACCACTTCTGGCTTTTTTCTTTTTGCTTATGTGGTGCTGAGGAATCGACCCCAGGGCCTCAGGCATGCAAGGCAAGCGCTCTACCACTGAGCCACCTTCCCAGCCCTAGTTCTGTGAGATTCTTATCTCTAGTGAACCAAAAGCCAGAGGTGGCACTGTGGTTCAAGTAGTAGAGCACCAACCTTGAATGACAGGATGTCAGGCCGGAGGGCGAGGAGGCCCTTGGTACATACAAGGTAGAGCCAGACGGGGCAAACCTGCATGGCCTCAGAAAATGAAGGCACCTCCTTTCCCCTCTGGAGGGGGGGGTGGCTCAGTACAGCGTGTGGGGGTCACTCACCTGCCAGGATGATGAGCACGCTCAGGGCCGCCTCCCGCATGGCAGAACACGGATCTAAAGGAACCCAGAAAATGGGCGCTCGCTTTAGCAGAGCCGGCAGCCTGGGGCCTGGTTTCCCTGGGCTGAGAGATAAAGAGGAACCCCAACTTTTAGTGTGTGTGTGTGTGTGTGTGTGTGGTGGGGTGTTGGTAAGTGATCAGGATTAGCAGGGCCTCGGGGTGTTTTTGTGGGGGGGGAGGGGAAGGAGGCAGGTGGCAGGAGGCCCAGATTCTGGGGTGTGTGTGTGTGTGTCTCCCACAGACAGTTTGGAGCCTGCCTGGCTTGGCCCCACTCCTGGATGGGGTCTAGTGGGCACCCCAGGCTGCGGTGCAGGGGGGAGGGGGGGAGACGGGGGGCCAGCTGGCTGGAGGCTGGAGGCTGGAGGCTGGGGGGAGGCCTGGCTGCGATCCCAGGCGCATCTTCCCTCTCATCTACCCACCACCACCTAGCCCCCCTCCCCCAGTGCCAGCCTGAACCCCCTTCTGCCCCATCCAGGCCCCCCAGCTCCACCTGGCTGGTCCCCTCCGCTTCTCCCAGCCGGGCCTGGCACTGATTCTGCTCAGCTGCCACCAGGACCCCGTGAGAAGCCAGATTCCAGGCCCAGCCCACGCCATTCCCCACTGCTCCCCACCACCCAGCCCCCAGGACCCCCAGGCTCCCCTTCCACCTGCCAGGGCCAGTACATACTCGGGGGTGCCCTGTGTGCCCCCCATGGACGCCTCACTCTCCCTCTGCCTGTTCATCCGTGTGTGTGTGTGTGTGTGTGTGTGTGTGCGCGCGCGCGTGCACGCAGTCATGCGCCCATACTGGGGTTTGAACCCAGGGCCTGGGCACTGTCCCTGAGCTTCTTTTCCGCTCAAGGCTGGTGCTCTACCACATGAGCCACGGGTCCACATCCGACTTTCTGCTGCTTAGAGACCAGAGTCTCCCGGCCTCCCTGGTGCCCCGCGGGCATGGCCACTGTCCTCGGCTCTCAGCTCCCGAGCGGCCGGGACGGCAGGCGTGCGCAGCCACACCAGGCCTGCTGCCAGCAGTGCTTGGAAGATCCGAGACCCCATTCCCACCGCCACACCCCAGAGCTCGAGACTCAGAGGTGGGGGTGCCAATGCACCCCCAAATCTCTAATCCACACTATCCATCGCGGAGCCCCCAGGCAGCACCCCATTTCCTAGCAGTCTCCAGCACCCATATTCCCACTCCTAGACCCCCAAGTTCACTTCTCACCCAACAAGACACCCCCAAACACCCTAAAATACCGCTTAGCTACCAACCAGACACCCCCAAACACCCTAAAATACCACTCAGATACCAACCAGACACCCCCAAACACCCTAAAATACCCTTTAAATACCCCCATCATCCAGACAGCACCCCAAATCCAGACACCTCCGGTCACTCTGATATCACCCGCACCCTACTCAGGGCTCACCCCTAATGTCTGTCCTGGGTCCTCCCAACACGGTGGGACCTTCTCCAGTCTCCAGCCTGGAGAAGTCCGGAACCTTGAAGGTTAGAACATTCTAGAATCTTGAACCAAAGGCCTTCTGTGTGGCCAGGTTGGTGGGGCGCACGGAGAGGGAACATGGGGGGAAGCCGAGGGGGGCTGGCGGGGAAGGGCTCACCTGCGGGGCTCACCGGGCTGCACCGCTGGTTCTCCAGAGACTGAGTCACCCCAGGCCCCAAGCCAGACTATCCACAGCCGCGCCCTGAGCAAACCAGCAAACCCGGGCAGGTAGAGGACAGGTCCGGGGCTCAGGCCTCCCCCACCCCATTCCTGTCTTAAAGAGACAGCTCCGAGCCAGGGCTGGAGGCCCATGCCTACTATCCTAGCTCCTCAGGAGGCTGAGATCTAGAGGATGTTGGTTCAAAGCCAACCCAGACAGGAAAGTCCAAGAGACTCTTCTCTCCAATGCAGCAGCAAAGAGCCAGAAGTGAAGCTCTGGCTCAAAGGGTAGAGCACCAGCCTTGAGCACACAAGCGCCTAGTTCCTGAGTTCAAGCTCCAGGAGCACCCCTTCCCCCAGCCACAGGCGCAGCCTTGGAGAGACAGAGGGAGAGGAGGAAGAACTGCCATTTGGGCCAGGCCCCGGTGGCTCACGCCTGTCATCCTAGCTACTCAGGAGGCTGAGATCTGAGGATCGAGGTTCAAAGCCAGCCCTGGCAGGAAAGTCCGTGAGACTCTGATCTCCAATAAACCACTCAGAAAACCAGAGGTGATGCTGTGGCTCAAGTTGTAGAGTGCTCGCCTTGAGCTGAAGAGCTGAGGGACAGCGCCCAGGCCCAGAGTTCAAACCCCAAGACTGACAGAAAAAAAAAAAAAAAAGAATTGCCACTTGGCTCTCTAGAAAGGGGACTGGCTTCTTCCGAGGTCCTGGGCCCCAAAGGACCCTGGGAAATGATAGATCATGGAGCACAAAGACACCTTGTAAAGAGCCAGCCTCCTTGACTTCCTCTGTGTTTGTTTTTTCTTTCTGTGTTGGTCCTGGGGCTTGAACTTAGGGCCTGGGTGTGGTCTCTGAGTTTTTTGTTTTTTTTTTGTTTTTCACTCAAGGCTGATGCTCTACTACTTGAGCCACAGCTCCACTTCTGACTTTTTGCTGGTTCATTGGAGATCAGAGTCTCATGGACTTTCCTGTCTGGGTTGGCTTTGAACCATGATCCTCTAAATCTCAGTCTCCGGAGTGGCTGGCCTGCCAGAGTGAGCTGGTGCCTGCAGCTAGCTGACATGCTTTTAAAGCTAGTAGGAGATGCTGATCAGACCCGGGATGTGAGATCTAGGATCTCTAAAACCACAGCCCCCACCCTTGGCTCACGCCTGTCATCCGAGCTACTCAGGGAGGCTGAGATCTAGAGAATCACATTTCGAGTCCAACCCCAGTCAAGAAAAGTCCATGAGACTCTTCTCTTCAATGGACCACCAAAAAGCCACAAGTGAAGTTATGGCTCAAATGGTAGAGCACCAGCTTTGAGCAAAAAATGCTGAGGGACAGCGCCTAGGCCTTGAGTTCAAGCCCCAGGACTGGCACACAGGGCTTGTTCCCCAGCCCTGGCCTGCTCCCTGTGGGGCCTTGCTCATGGCATTCCTTCCTGCTGGGGTCTGTGCTCATGTCCCTGCTTGGGGGTACTCCCCCCAATTCCGCCCTTCTTAGACAGAGGCACTTTTGTCCCCGGGGCTGGATGGAGAACAAGGCAGCATTGAATGGCTGGCAAGGATTGGGGTCACGGGGAGGGACAGGGGCAGGAAAGGGGCAGCTCCAGGCTGGCCACCAGCTGGACTCCAGATGACCCCCCAAAAGCATGGTGGGGGCAGAAAGGCAGCCAGGGGCAGCCGGGCGGGGGTGCTGGAGGAGGGGACTGGAGGGGGCGGTAAAGACTCTGCCTGCCAGGGATGTGGGAGCCAAGGACCCCCACTTTTGCACTAGGGAGGAGGGTGGAGCAGGCACAGCTGCCCCCCTCATTTACACTGAGTTCTATTTTGTAAGCTCCCTCAACCCCATCCCTAGACAAGGACTGCGCCTGTAGTTGCTCTCTTTAAGAGTGGGCAGATCCTTCTCCAAGGAGATCAAAACACAGGAAGGAAAAACCCTGGGAAGGGTGGGGAAAAAAGGAGGAAGGACCAAGTCAGCTTCAAAGGGGTCTTTGTGCCTGGTCAGACAGCTCCAGCTTGAATGTCCCTGGGAGAGGCACACACCACCCCCATCTATCTCCTCCAAAAAAAACCCACAGCAAGACTGGGGGTCTCGGGAGTAGTAGTGCATTGTCCCCCTCTGCTGGAGCAATATGGAAGTGCAGCACAGTCTCTCGCTTAACTATGAGAAGAAAGCCTTTCTTCCTGGCTGCTAAGGCTCATGCTCTACTATTTGAACCACAGCTCCACGTCTGGCTTTTTGCTGGTAGATTGGAGATGAGAGTCTTACGGACTTTCCTGCTCTTGTTGATTCTCAGTTCTCAGCCTCCTGAGTAGCTAGGATGACAAGCGTGAGCCACCGGCGCCCAGCTTGAAAAACATTCTTCACAATGGTTTCATCTCAAGTGTGATAACTCCTTGGTCAGGCACCTTCCTTAAGCCAGGCATGGTTTAGTGAAACACAGTCGGGCCACAAATGAAGAGAGAAGGCACTCAGAACCCCACTGATTTTTTTCTTTTTGTGACCTCCCTTCTCAAGCAAACAAGGCTCCTTTCCTGGACCTCAGTTTCCCCAGGTGTGCAAAAGAGCAATAATAGAAGTAGCTGGCAATTCACCTAGTGGCTCACACCTGTCATCCTCGCTATTTGGGAGGCTGAAATCTGAGGATCTCAGTTTGAGGTCAGCCCAAGCAGGAAACTCTGTGAGACTCTTAACTCCAATGAACTGTCAAAAAGCTGGAAGTAGAGCTGTGACTCAAGTGGTAGAGCGCCAACCTTGATTGAGCTAAAGCTTGGGTCAGCGCCCAGTGCCCAGACCCTGAGTTCAATCCTGGGACCAACAAGCACACAACAACAACAATAATAATACGGGGATTGCCAGGCAGGGCGGGCTTTCAGATTCAGTGGGGAGCAAGATGTGGGCGACTAACTGGGAATCTGCTCCCCTTACAGGAAGGGGGTGGAATGGAAGGGGCGGAGTTGGGTGTTTTCTAACACAAGTAACAAAGGAACTCTTGTAAGTTAGCCAGGCCTTCCGGCAACCAGCACAGATCCACCCCTGAAATAAACCTTCCTGGTCTCACAGGAGAAGTTAACCACAGCAGATACATTCTCTGGAGATAGTTGTAATACGAAAAACGGATGGGGGGGCTGGGAAGGTGGCTCAGTGGTAGAGCGCTTGCCTTGCATGCATGAGGCCCTGGGTTCGATTCCTCAGCACCACATAAGCAAAAAGAAAAAAGCTGAAAGTGGTGCTGTGGCTCAGGTGGTAGAGCGCTAGCTTTGAGCTGAAGAGCTGAGGGACAGCGCCCAGGCCCAGAGTTCAGGCCCCACAACCGACCAAAAAAAAGAGAAAAACTGATGGGGTACGTGAGGAGATGGGGCCCCCCACTTTACCCTCTCTCCCTGCTTAGCAGCTGTGAGCGTTGGTTGGCCAGCATGAAGTCATCAATTGATGGCTCTTGAAAATGGGGTCAGCTGGGCACCGGTGGCTCACGCCTGTCATCCTAGCTACTCAGGAGGTCGGAGATCTGAGGCTCACAGTTCAAAGTCAACCTGGGCAGGAAAAGTCCATGAGACTCTTCTCTCCAATCAGCCACCAGGAAACGGGAAGTGCTGTGGCTCAAGTGGTAGAGCGCTAGCCTTGAGCTGAAGAGCTGAGGGACAGTGGCTAGGCCCAGAGTTCAAGCTCCACACCACACACACACACACACACACACACACACACACACACACACACAGGTGCAAGATGGGAAATACAGACAGTTCAGGATGAAGTTGGGGGAGGCTGGATAAGGAAGGGATGAATGAGGGCCCTGATTTGAGCAAAGCAGGGCTCCAAGTGTCCCTAGCCATGAGAGATCTGGATTGCTTGGGGGTTTTTTTTTGGGGGGGTCCAACTGAGGGCCTTGCACTTGCTAGGCAGATACTCTACTATCTGAGCCATGCTTCCAGCCCCCTCCCTTTGTTTTTGCATTGGTTATGTTGGAGGTAAGATCTCGCTTTATGGCTGAAGGCCAGCTCGAAGCACGATTTTCCTACTTGTGTCTCTGGGGCTAGCAGACACATGCCATTGTACCCACATACCATGCTTCCCACGAGCTGGGGTAACAGGCCTGCACTGCCATGCCTAGTCAGTAATTGAGTTGGAGTCTTAGGGGAAAACAAAACAAAACAAAACTTTTTTTTTTGCCCTAGTGACCTCAAACTATAATCCTCCAATCTCTGCCTCCAAGCTAAGTACAATTTCAGGGCAATAAGGGGTTCCAATCTGCTGGGAAGGATGGGCATCTTAGCTTGCCAAGGGCTGGGGGGGTCCTTTGTGGGAGCTGGCCCGGGAGGAGGTAGGTGCAAGTCTGTGTTGTACCCCAGGCAGACTCTGTGCAAAGGCGGAGCTGGCTACCGGCCAGCCGGGCATCTAGCATACCATGGCTGATGTCATGCAGGAGTGTCAGAGGTAAGTCTGGGCAGAGGACATGTGCTAATCGTGCCAGGGCCACTGGCGAGGAGCCCAGAGCTATTCATCAAAGTGAACGGAGCTGGCCCATCCAAGACCTGCCCTGGCAGACTCAATGTCTGAGGCTCCAGTCTCTCTTTCTCTGGTCGGTTGTGGGGCTTGAACTCATGACCTGGGCCCCTGTCCCTGAGCTCTCTCGCTCCAGGCGAGTGCACTTCCGGTTTTCTGCTGGTTCATTGGAGATAAAAGTCTCAGGGACTTTCCTGCCCGGGCTGGCTTCAAACCACCATCCTCAGATCTCAGCCACCTGAGCACTAGCCTTGAGCAAAAGAACTCAAGGACCCTGCCCCAGGACCCGCACACATACAAAACAACAACAACAACAAAAGTTGGAAAAACTGCTTAGAGCTCTTGACCAAGTTTGTTTGGCAGCAGGACCAGGACAGGGGACATAGACATTAGTCCCTTGGGCATCAGACAGCACCCATTGCCACAGCAAACGTCACGCCAGCCTCTGCCAGGCGGTCTCCCTGGGGGCTGAGCCAGGATCATGCGGAAGGCAGTTGGAGAATGACGCTACCAGCTACCACAGCCAGTGATGGTTGAAGACAGCCAATCAGAGGCTCAGAGGCACAGTGAGTGGCTGTGGGTGAGACCTGGGCTCTTCCTGTCTGGAGGAGGAGCCAGCCTTGGGGAGCATCTCAGAGGGATGGAGGAGTGTGTGGGGGGCCACAGAAATGAAGGCCTGACTGAGCTAGCCAAGACACCCACTCTTAGCACATTAATTATGTAAGCCGGCTCCAGGCTGATGCGGTTTTCTGTAAGCAGCAAACAGAAGGATGCTAGGAGGGCAGGGCCCAGGGGAGGAGTCAGGCCTGGGGCAGCTCAGTGTCTTCAGGGATGCTCAGGAAGGCCACGCCCCTGGCCCTGCTGAGGAAGCCACGCCCCTGTCAAGACTGGGGGTTTAAGCCACGCCCCTGGCTCTGCTCGGGAAGTCAGGCCTCTGGCCAGGCAGGGGAGGCCCCTGACAATACAGGAGAGGCCAGGTCCCTGGCCTTGGGGGAGAAGCCACGCCCCTGACAATACTGGGGAGGCCACGGCCCTGGTCTTGCTGGGGAGATAATCCCTAACTCTCCAGGGGGGTAGCCATGACCCTGGACTGCCCCAGGATGGACTGTGTTCCTTCAGAGAAAGGACGGAGGTGGAGGCTGGAGGTGGAGGCTGGAGGTTTCCTGGAACTCAGGCCTGGCCAGGGGTCCTGGGAGCTCCATACCCATCCATCTGGCTGAGGCTTAGCGAGGCCTGGGGGTGAAGAGTTGAGTGAGCAGGGAGGGAGGAGACATGGTTAGGAGCTCCCCTAATGGGCAACCTTAGCCCAAGTACCCAGAGCCTCTGAAGAGCTCAGTTTCTTCCCTGTCCCCATTCACAGCAGACAGGGAAACTGAGGCACTGCTTGGCAGAAGCTAAGTCTGGGAGCGTCAAAGGCAAGAGGCTGTGGAACACTGGCTGTGGAGTCCTGGGCCACACTGTGAGGAATGCACAAGTCCTGGGGCTGCCATGATGGGAGGAAGCTCAAGTCACTCACCAAGATGAGTTGGGCGTCCCAGGGGCCCCAGCATTCAAGACTTCCAGTCCACAGGTCAGATTCTTCCCTCCCCTACACTTTCCCCCCAGCTGGTCACGTGGGCCAGGCATACAAGCCCTGTCCAACTGTCTTAAGTCATAGACTCCATTAAGCTCTAATAAAATGGCTGTTATTTTACACTGCTGGAATCCAGGGCGGTTTGTTTGGTCGCCATAGGGCAAAAGAATGGCTCATTTAGTTAAGTGCGTTATTAAAACAGCATTGCTTTTTTTTTTTTTAATGCGGGAATTACAATCCATCTCCCTGCCTAGTCTGCTATTTGAACATAACTCCACGATTATTCCCGCATATAAAATGAATGGTTTTCACACTCCTGGTTAATCACAGTGGTTGTTCCTATTTACAATGTAATTACCAAGGAAAGAGAAACTGCACATTTCTCTCCCAAGGCTCCGAGGTGAGAATGGCAGGCACTGGATAAACACCCGCAGAGCACTCGCTTCCCAGAGGCAGGTACAAAGCCAGCACAGGGGGCTGGGTAGTTGGCTCAGTGGTAGAGTGCTTGCCTTGGATGCATGAGGCCCTGGGTTTGATTCCTCAGCACCACATAAGCAGAAAAAGCTGGAAGTGGCACCGTGGCTCAAGTGGTAGAGCGCTAGCCTTGAGCTGAAGAGCTGAGGGACAGCGCCCAGGCCCAGAGTTCAGGCCCCACGATCAGCAAAAAAAAAAAAAAAAAAAAAAACAAAGCCAGCACAGACACCAGCCCGTGTGTGTATGTGTGTGTGTGTGTGTGTGTGTGTATGTGTGTGTACCTGATACAGCCGCGCTCGCCCTACAGATGATTGAAACTTCAGATTCAAGTATACAGAGACATGGCTTTTCCTGCCTGGGGTGGCTTTGAACCTGAGTAGCTAGGATTACATTCAGTCTTTCTTTTTTTTTTTTTAATCGGTCATGGGGCTTGATTTCAGGGCCTGGGTGCTGTCCCTAAATTTTTAAGCTCAAGGCTTGTACTCTATCATTTGAGGCACAGCACCATTTCTGCTTCTTTTTTCTTTCTTTCTTTTCTTTTTTTGCGATTTCACTGGCCATAAAAGTCTCCTGGCTGGGCATCAGTGGCTCATGCCTATAATCCTAGCTACTCAGGAGTCTGAGATCTGAGGATCATGGTTCAAAGCCTGCCCGGGCAGAAAAGTCTATGAACTCTTACCTCCAATAAATGACTCAGAAAACCAAAAGTAGAGCTGTAGCTCACGAGGTAGAGCATTCACCTTGAGTTGAAGAGTGCAGGGATAGCACTCAGGCCCAGAGTTCAAGCCCCATGACCAAAAAACAAAAAAGTCTCCTGGTCTTTCTTGCCCTGATCTGGCTTTGAACTGTGATCCTCAGATCTCAGCCCATTGAGTAGGTGGGATTAAAGGTATGAACCACCAGCACCCAGTTTGGATCTCTGTATATTTGAGGGTCTCTCTAGGAAGCAGGTGTTTTGGTGGATGAGCCTGGAATCTTATCATTTAAAGGCCTGAGATATGCCCACCACTGGCAGGAAAGTCTCCCGTGTCTCCAATTACCACCTAGAAAACCAGAAGTGGCTCTGTGGCTCAACGTGGTAGCTCTAGTCAAGCAGAAAAGCTCAGGGACAGCACCCAGACCTTGATCAACTATCATAGGCAAGCATTTTTCCCACAAAGCACTGGTTTTCATCAACCCTATGCAGAAAAACCTTTTTTCAGTAGAGGTGGAAGCGCCTCCTGGTGACCATCCATGTCATGACAACAATGTGTCTTAAACCAGACACCAGTGGCTCACACCTATCACCGCAGCTACTTCAGGAGGCTGAGATCTGAGGAACCAGGTTTAAAGTCAGCCTGGGCAGGAAGTCCATGAGACTTATCTCTAATGAACTTGCGAAAAGCTGGAAGTAGAGCTTCGGCCCAAGTACAGCACTAACTAACCTTGAGCAAAAAATCTCAGGGATAGTACCCAGGCCCTGAGTTCAAGCCCCAGGACTGGCTCCAAAAATAAATAAATAAATAGATAAATGGTCTGTGAATGTTCCAGAAAAGGCAGAGGAGGATGGGTAGAGGTGTGGGAGGCTTCTCCCCTAGAAAAGCTGAGACCCAAGCCCAGATGGAGGGAGAAAAGGGCAGACGGGGTCTCAGGCTGTACCTGTGTTGGCCCCAAGTACATGTCCCTACACTGGCCATCTTTTCTAGAAATGTGTGCCTTTTCTAGAAATAAGTTTTCCTTTAAACATCTTCCCATCTTCAGCGGATGTGGTTTTCAAACTCAGCATCCCCCACCATGCTATAAACCAGGTACACAAAGAATTCATGAGGATCACATGACCCACATCTGTCCAATGAGCGCTCCATCACATGACCCAAATATATCCAATGAGAGCAGGGTCTCCTTGGATATTTTTTACCTCCCTGGACTATAAGACTTGGAATTTACAGGGAGGTGTGTGTGTGTATGTGTGTGTGTGTGTGTGTGTGTAAGGTGGTTCAGTGGTAGAGTGTTTGCCTCAGAGTGTGTGGAGTGTGTGTGTGTGTGTGTGTGTGTAAGGTGGCTCAGTGGTAGAGTGTTTGCCTCACATGCATGAGGCCCTAGGTTTGATTCCTCAGCACCACATAAACAGAAAAAGTTGAAAGTGGTGCTGTGGTTCAAGTGGTAGAGCACTCGCCTTGAGCTGAAGAGCTAAGGGGCAGCACCCAGACCCTGAGTTCAAGTCCCATGACCAAAAAAGAAAAGAAAAGAAAAGAAATGGATCAGCCAGGAGCCTGTGGCTCACGCCTGTCATCCTAGCTACTCAGGAGGCTGAGATCTGAGGATCGTGGTTCAAAGCCAGCCCTGGCAGGAAAGTCGATGAGACTCTTAGTTCCAACTAGTCCCTGGAAAACCAGAAGTGGCACTGTGACTTACAGTAGTAGAGCACTAGCCTTGAGTGCTAAAGCTCAGGGACAGTGCCCAGGCCCTGAGTTCAAGCCCCACAACCAACACGAAACAAAAAAAGATCAGACAACACTTGGATCTTGGATCCAGCTGTACCTGAAACCTGATCCAGGTGTTTCCAATGAATCAACCAGCTAAAAACTTTTATTCTCTTAAGTCAACAATTGGGAGATCACATTTCCTGCCTGCTTCATGCCAGTCCCCCAATTCTTCTCTTCCCCTCTCCCCACAATTTCCTCACTGCTGCTTACATTTGTGACTGCGGAGACCACATTAATCAAAACCATCTTTATTATTTAAAGAGCATCCTGTCACCAGGGTCCCCTAAACAAGGGTTCCCCAGAGGGCAGAATAATATTTACACATGGTGCGGGGCGGGGGGGGGGGGAGAGGTGTGGCTGGCTGGGGGGGGCCGCCACTATGGCACACGAGCAGCTCAGAGGGGTCCTTGGACCCGTGGACTGGGCTCGAGAAGAAACATGGTCCATCCTGGACTCGGTGTGGTACCAACCACAGACAGCCAGGGCAGCCACACGCAGGCCAGCGTGGGCGCTGGAGACACGGGCAGCACGGAGACGCCACAGGTCAGCGGTGGCTCAGTATGCCGCTGGCTTCGGAGTGAGTCTGGGGAGAGACGGCTGCAAGCTGTGGTGTGCTGAGCACCCCCTCCCCAAGATCCACAACTAATGCCCCTTCCGGATGCCCCAGAATTTCTGCCTCCGTGGTAGACCCACAAAACTTCCCACAGGGGCCGGTGGCTCACACCTGTCAGCTACTCAGGAGGCTGAGATCTGAAGACTGTGGTTTGAGGCCAGCCTGAGCAGGGAAGTCTGTGAGACTCTTATCACCAAGGAACCGGCCAAAAGCCAGAAGTGGAGCTGTGACTCAAAGGGTAGAGTGCTAGCCTTGAGTGAAAAAGCTCAGGGACAGCGTCCAGGTCCTGAGTTCAAATCCCAGGACTGGCATAAGAAAACGAAAACACAGCCGCTGCCTTCTACTGGGCCTGGCTCACCTTAATGGCCTGGAAGATCCACTCTCGGAAGTCCATGACTTTGGTGTAGACTCCTGGCTTCTGAGCTAAGGCGCAGCCGGTGCCCCAGCTCACGATGCCGCACAGGCGCCAGCGCGGGGCCCGGGAGATGCTGTCCTCACACACGAACGGCCCGCCACTGTCCCCCTGCGGGGAGGGGAAGCGCGCTGAAGGCCCAGAGGGGAGGGGCGGGGGGGGGCTCCCTCCAGCTTTGAGAAGGGCGGCCCTTCCGGCTCACCTGGCAGGCATCCACGCCCCCCTCGGGGTAGCCGGCACAGAACATCTTAGGTTTGATTTGGTTTCCATAGAAGTCGGGGCCGTTGCAGACATCGTTGCTGATTATGGGGACCCGGGCCTCCTGCAGTACCCGAGCCTGCTGGCCTGGGGGGGGGGCGAGGCTAGAGGGAGCTGGGGGAACCAGCCTGCCCCCTCCCTCGGGTTCTGCCCCCTTGTTCCCCAGAGGGGGACCCCAGAGCTACCAGCCTACCAGAGTGTTTGCTCTCCTTTCCCTTCCTTCCCTCTCTCTCTTCCACCTTCCTTTTTCTTTCACTGATCCCCAGGACTTGAACTCAGGGCCTGGGCACTGTCTAACTTTTTCACTGAAGACTGGTGCTCTACCACTTGAGCCACAATTCCACTTGCAGCCTTTTTTCCTTTTTCGGATGGTTACTTGGAGATAAGAGTCTCACAGACTTTCCTGCCCGGGCTGGTTTCAAACCACAGTGCTCAGACCTTAGTCCCCTGAATAGCTAGGATGACAGGCACTTTGCCTGCCTCCCTCCCTCCCTCCCTTCCTTCTCTCTCTCTCCCTTCCCTGCCCCTCCCCGTGTCTGTGGTGGGCAGGCACAGGGCACAGGCAGGACTCACCGTAGTACTGCATGTTTCCCCAGCCGGTCACTGTGCAGATCTTGCCGTCCACCAGGTCCTGGCCGGCCGCGGGGAGACACACAGGCTGGATGTATTCTGTGAGAGAGGCCCCAGCCCCGGGCTGACCTGCTGCAGGCGGGGTGAACCTGTCCATCTGCAGCTCATACCCTCCAACCCCGCCATGGGAAATCAGGGAAATTGAGGCAGGAGAAAGAGCAGCCAGGAAGTTGGAAACTGTATTAGTGAGAAGCTTCATTAGAACATCCGGCTATCCCTTTCTTGGTTTTGTCTGTGTGTGTGTGTGTGTGCGTGTGTGTGTGTGTGCATGCGTGCACGCATGTGTTGGTCCTGGGGCTTGAACTCAGTGCCTGGGCGCTATCCCTGAGCTTTTCTTGCTCAAGGTTGGTGCTCTACCACTTGCGCCATGGGTCTATTTCTGGTTTTTTGGTGATTCACTGGAGATAAAAGAGCCTCACAGACTTTCCTGCCCAGGCTGGCTTTGAACCCTAATCCTCAGATGGCAGCCTCCTGAGTAGCTAGGGCAGGCGTGCCCGACTCACCCGTGAGGGGCAGGGGGCTGGAGAGGTGGACGAGGGCGATGTCGTTGCTGTTCTCTCCGCTGTTGGGGTCTTGAAAGGGAAGGTAGCCCCCGTGGTAGATGACAGCCCGCACCCCCAGTTGCACGCCATGGGGGGAGCCCTGGGCCACGGCCCCAGCAAATACTTTCCATAGAGACAGGACTCGGTTCCTCCTGCCAGGCAATGGGAGGGACGGCTGGTGGGCAGCCTGGGCACTGCCCTGCCCCCCCACCGGCTGGCGCTGAGCGGGGCACTCACTCTGGGAAGCAGTGGGCAGCGGTTAGCACCCAGTCTCCAGATAGCAGGGACCCCCCGCACAGGTGCGCCCCGTCATAACGCAGGCTGACCTGCCACGGCCACCGGCCCAGGCTGCTGTCCTGGCCGCCCACGATGCGGTCCACGGGCAGCTTCCTGCGGCCACAGTCTGTGCCAGAGGGGTGTGGTCAGTGGGGGGAGGGGGGCGGGGAGGTGGAGGCCTGCGTCTGGTCCCAGGGGATCTGAGACCACAGGTTCCCCCCCCCCGGCAGATTGAGGGGACACAGCCTTGTTGTTGGGGGGAAGGGAGGGAGGGGGTCCTCAGGATGATGGATGCTCTGCCTGGGCACCGTCCCTGAGCTTTTCTTGCTCAAGGCTGGTGCTCTACCACTTGAACCACAGTGCCACTTCCAGTTTTCTGGTGCTTAATTCGAGGTAAGAATCTCACAGACTTTTCCTGCCGGGGCTGGCTTTGAACTGCGATCCTCAGATCACAGCCTCCTGAGTAGCTAGGATGACAGGCGTGAGCCACCAGCGCCCCACACAGTCCTCTCTTTGGGGGGGCCCCAGAGCCCCGGCTCTGTCCCAGGGACGCTGAGTCATGGGGATGGCGGTGAGGCCCAGGCTCACCTTGGCAGACGGTGGACAGGAAGCGGCCTCTGGGACAGTCGCTGCGGGGCGGGGGGGGGCGACGATGGAGAGAGAGAGAACAGAGGGAAATGAAGGCCTCGGGGGCCGGTGAGCGGGCAGGGTCCCCGGGGGGCTCCCCGCCCCCGCCCCGCTCACCACACAGAGATGACATCCAGCAGGCTCTGGGCGTGGGGCAGCCGGCCCTCGTCCACGCAGAAGAAGCCCCACGTGCCGTTGGCGCCCGCGGTCCTCACGTCCAGCTCGGAATGGACCAAAGCCCTGGGCAGGGCAGGGGTCAGCACCGCTCCATCTGTGTCCCTTCCCCTCCGCCCCCCCCAAAAAAACCACAACCCGTTCTGCTTCTGGGGTGCCCAGTACCTGAGAAAGCCCATCTCCTCGCAGCTGAGACCCGCCACCCTGGCGTTGGAGCGGGAGGAGCACAGCAGACGCCACGTCCCCTCCATCCTGTCAAACACCGTGACGCGCGCGTCCACAGGGCTGACCTGCACTGCAGGGCACAAAGGGGGCGCTGGGGCCCAGGTCGCCCCAGACCCGGGGCCCCCCCAGCCTCCCTTCCATGACGACGGCCACAGCACAGGCCTCTTCCCCCAGAAGCTGGGTGCCCAGACAAGCCCTGGGGACACCACGCTCTTGGTTCCCTTGGTGGGGAGGAGGGGGGGGGACTGGCATGAAAGAACGTTCCAGATTTCCAGAAAGCTCCTTGAAGCCACCCGCTCTGAGGAGCCTCCAGAATCACATGAGTTACTAACGGCCCCCTCCCTTTTTTTGGGTGGGTCATGGGGCCTGAACTCTGGGCCTGGGTGCTGTCCTTCAGCTCTTTAGCTCAAGGTGAGCGCTCTACCACTTGAGCCACAGCGCCACTTCAGGTTTTCTGGTGGTTAACTGGAGATAAGAATCTCACACTTCACTGCCCGGGCTGGCTTTGAACCGTGATCCACAGATCTCAGCCTCCTGAGTAGCTAGGGTGACAGGCATGAGCCACTGGTGCTAGCTACTAATGGCCCCTTTGATCCAGCTGGCTTCTACATTCTTCACTTTGGTGTGTGTGTGTGTGTGTACACACGCATGCACACCTGTGTGGAAGACCTGGGGCCTGAACTCAGGGGCTGGGCGCTGTCTTTCACTCTCTCATGGCTTGGTGCTCTACCTCTTGAGCCACAGCTCTACTGCCAAAGCTTTGTCAGTTCATTGGAGGTAAGAGCCTCATGTCTGTCCCAGTGTTGGCTTCAAACCTTGGTCCTCACCCCTCAGCCTCCTGCGCAGCTGGGCTTACAGGCGTGCCCAGCTTCCCTTTCTTTTTTGCAGCCTGAAGACTGTTGGCCATCCAAATGCTTAACTAAACAACTGTGTGGTTGGAGGGGGTGGGGGAAGAGGGAAAAGATGGGGAAGTCCTGGGAGAAGGGGGAGGAGGAGGAAGAAAAAGCAGAAGCAGAAGAAGGTACAGGAGAGAGGAGGAGGAGGAGAAGGAAGAAAAAAAAACAGGAGGAGGAGGAAGAAAAAGAAGAAGAAAGCCGGGGACTGGGAACCCGATTGGGGGTGGGGGCTCTTGGGGCTGTCCAGTGGCCACTGGCTGAAAGATCCCTCAGTTCATCCCCCCACGCAGTTGGGGGACCCTTCCCCCCATGTCAGGTCCAAACTCCAGCGCCTCTCTTCACACATCTACCAAGCGTGGTGTGATCCAGGCTCTATTTTGGGCAATGACCAAGGCACCACAAGAAGGAACAAATGCAAACGGCCGGGCTGCAGGGGCTGAGCTTCAGATCCCAGCGGGAGGTGGGGAAGGAAAGGGACAAACGAGGGACAAATCAGAAAACCCAGTGGTGCTCACCTGGGAGGGGCCCTGAAGCAGGCGGTGTGGGGGAGGGGGCAGAGAAGACAGGGAATCAAGTAGGACACAGGAAACAAACACAGAGAGCAAGCAGCAGCAGAGCCGGGGTGGGGAGGGGAGAAAGGAGAGAGGGAAGGAGGCAGGGAGGGAAGGAAGGGGTAACAGAGGGGAGGAGCAGAGATTTTTGATCTCTTAGCCAGACCGAGCTGCTGGTGGCTCACGCCTGTAATCCTAGCTACTCAGGAGGCTGAGATCTGAGGATCATAGTTCAAAGCCAGTTGGAGGAGGAATGTCCACGAGACTCACCACCAGAAAACCGGAAGTGGTGCTATGGCTCAAGTGGTAGAGCACTAGCCTTGAGCTGAAGAGCTGAGGGACAGCGCCCAGGCCCAGAGTTCAAGCCTCAGAACCGACAAAAACAAAAAAACAAAACCCCAAGCAGGTGCCATGTCCAAAACACACGAGCCACTGGCCCTCGGCTATATTTTGTGTTTGAGATATGGTCTCCATAATGTGACATTGCCACACTCTTCTTTGAAGCGGCTTTAACTATGTATCCCAGGCTGGCCCTGAACTTCCACCCTTTTACCCCAGCTTCCCCTGCAGCACACCGCCATTCTTGGCTCTCCTCCAATTATTTTTAAAACGATGTTTTGTGCCATGGGCCTCTCACTTTTCAATTCTTTATTCCTGTCCATATTATTTTAAGCAAGGTAAGAAGTCTGTTCTAGATCACCTGGTGTGCTTACCAGATTGTGTGATATACTTAGAGCTGTGAAAATCCCAGAAAAAACAAGGTAGGGACAGGGAGAGGGGGTGTTGCTTTTGTTTTTATTTTGTGCTGGTCTTGGGCCTTGAACTCAGCTCTTTCACTCAAGGCTGGCACTCTCACCACTTGAGCCACAGCTCTACTTCTGGCTTTTTGGGCAGTTAATTAGAGATAAGAGTCTCATAGACTCTCCTGCCCCAGCTGCATTTGAACCGCGATCCTCAGGTCTCAGCTTCTGAGTAGCTAGGATGACAGGCGGGAGCCACTGGCGCCAGGTCCATTGCCCCATTTGTAAAGTGAAGAGAATGAAAGTCCATGCTCACTGGGTTTGGGGAAAATCTCACGAGATTAGGACCATGGCATGGGTCAGTAATGGAAAGCCACCTGCCTAGGAAATGTGAGTTCGATCCCCAGTACTGCAGGATCACACGTGTATGAACACCATATTGATACATAAGCTAAACAAAAAAGGAACAAAACCGTTTTGTTAACCGGGCAACAGTGCCCAGGCAGTAAAGGCTGTGAGAAATGTATCTCCAATGAACCACCAAAAAGCTGGAAGTGGAGCTGTGGCTCAAGCAGTAGAGCACTAGCCTTGGGCACAAAAGCTCAGGGACATCTTCCAGGTCCTGAGTTTAAGCCTCAGAACCAGCACAAAAACAAAACAAAATAAAACAAATGTGTGTGTGTGTGTATACACAATATACACAAGTAAATAAGTAGATGCATCATAGAAAAATGAGTAAATATAAACAAGTAGATAAGTGATTTATGACAGATGAACAAATAAAAACTAGTAAAGGTGCTGGGTGCTGGTGGCTCACACCTGTTATCCTAGCTATTCAGGAGGCTGAGATCTGAGGATCGCAGTTCAAAGCCAGCCTGGGCAGGAAAGACCGTGAGACTCCTATCTCCAATAAACCACCAGAAAACCGGAAGTGGCGCTGTAGCTCAAGTTTAGAGCGCTCGCCTTGAGCTGAAGAGCTGAGGGACAGCGCCCAGGCCCAGAGTTCAAGGCCCATGACTGACAAAAACAACAACAACAACAAAAAATAGTAAAGGAGCAAATACATAGGTGGATAAAAATAACCAATGTAAAAAATAACCAATGTGTGCCTGACTCAAGTCAGGCAAGGCTCAACCTTTAAGAGCATCAACAAAAAAAAAGAAAATACTTTCACACACATACGCAAACATGCACATGCACATGCACATGCGCACACACAGGCCCGCTTCCTCCAGCCCTGTGTACTCACCTGGGTACAGTGGCTGCTGATCACTCCTGAGTAGGGTCACTGTGGAGAAGGTGGAGGTGAGGATGGGCTGGTGGGAGGCCTAGTGTGTGTGTGGGGAGACCCAGCACGGGGGAGGTCAGAGGTAAATACTATGCTCACCAACAGCCCAGGAAGCTGCTCCGATGGCCGTGAGGAGCAGCAGGGTTCCTACGGAGAGCGCAGCCACCTTGGGTCCAGAGCAGCCTTGTACCCTCCGGCCACCTGTAACAGACACCAGGCTGCAGCCACGGCCAGGCCTGGCCCCAGACCTCACCTGGCCCCAGTGTCGCGGTGTCTGTGCCACTCAGAAGGCTGAGATCCAGAGGACTGATGTCCAAAGTTGGCCCAGGCAGAAAACGCACAGGAGACTCCATTTCCAAAATAATCAGTTTAAAAAAAAAAAAAGCTGAGCTGGAGGCGTGGCTCATGTGGTAGAGTGCCAGCCAAGCAAGCAAGCACAAGCAAGTGCAAGGACCTGAGTTCAAACACTGGCCCAGAGTTCCTGCCTGGGCTGGCTTTGAACTATGATGCTCAGAGCTCAGCCTCCTGAGCAGCTGGGCTGACAGATGTCTTCTGAGTGTTGAGTCAGCATCTTATCTGGGAGTACCCGGATGCCGACACACGATCAGATCTCAAACTGCCCTCCATGTTGTCCCAGATCTGCCGCGCGCAGGCCTGTCTCCAAGGCCCTCATTCCTACTGCTTGGCAGTTGCACAGTCCGACCAGCCCTATCTAACCATTGGGCAGTCTCCCCCTCCGCTCCCCAAGATACAGAAGCCTGGTAATCTGCCTTTCAAGTCCATAGCTTCCCAGTTCCCTTATCCCCTCAGACTATATGGCTTTTAGAGAGCTGAGGTTTGAACTTGCTTCCTCAAATCCCCAGACAGCAATGTGGGTCATTATCAGACATTTAATAGAACTTCTGCAGAGCAACACAAACCACGGAACTTGTAAAAATAACCTATTAAATAGCCGGGCACTGGTAGCTCATGCTTGTAATCCCAGCTACCCAGGAGTCTGAGATTCAAGGATGGAGGTTCAAAGCCAGCCCAGGCAGGGCACTGGTAGCTTATGCCTGTAATCCTAGCTTCTCAGGAGATTGAGGACTGAGGATCGTGGTTCAAAGCCAGCCTGAGCAAGGAAAGTCTGTGAGACTCTTATCTCCAGTAAACCACCAGAAAACCGGAAGTGGCTCAATGTAGAGCTCTCGCCTTGAGCTGAAGAGCTCAGGGACGGTGCCCAGGCCCAGCGTTTAAGCCCCACAACCAAAAAAAAAAAAAGCCAGCCCAGGCAGAAAAGTCTATGAGACTCTTCTCTCATTAATAAAACAAGCTAGAAATGGAGCTGTGGCTCAAGGGTAGAGCTCCAGCCTTGCACAAAAGAAGGAGAGGAGGCAGGAGGCCTGACTACAAATCCTGGTACCGCCCCCCCCCCAAATCATGACAAAAATAAAATTAAAAACAAAAAACAAAGTAATAACAAAACCTAGAAAGGAAGTCATAGCACCAGCGCCATCTGGTGGGAAGACCCTGCACTACCTCGAACCCTCCAACCTTCCGATCAGCCAGTCTCCTCCAACTTCAACTCCAGATATACTAGTGTCCTGTGTGCACATACACTCAGCCCTGCTCTTCCGGCTGCCTGGTCCACCCTACCTCCTTCCCACTGGGTCTCTGAGTTGAGACTCAGCTCTCTCTTCTGATCCCAATCCCAGAAGCTTTGGGGGAACCTTGGGTGAATTTCCACTGCACTAAGAAATCTAAAACTAGAAGCTGGTAGCTCATGCCTTAATCCTAGCTACTTAGGAGGCTGAGATTTGAAGACCATGGTTTGATGCCAGCCAAGGGCAAGAAAGACTATGGGACTTTTATCTGCAATTAAGCAGCTTAGTGTTAGGGCACTATGGAAAAAGCTAAGTGACATCACCCAGGCCCTGAGTTCAAGACCTAGTACCGATAAATACACAAGAAAAAGAAAATTCCGGGCTGGGAAGGTGGCTGCATGGTAGAGCGCTTGCCTTGCATGCCTGAGGCCCTGGGTTCGATTCCTCAGCACCACATAAGCAAAAAGAAAAAAAAATCCGGAAGTGGCCCTGTGGCCCAAGTGGTAGAGTGTTAGCCTTGAGTTGAAGAGCTGAGGGAGAGCCCAGGCCAAGAGTTCAGGCCCCATGACCAGCAAAAGGAAAGGAAAATTGCTATTTACACACAAGGAAAGGAAACCCAGAGAGGCCCAGCCACCAATGCCTACTTAGTCCCATCGGGAAAATAGTCCTCAGGATTCCAGCCTCTGCTGTCCACATGCTCAGAGCCTGGTTTCATGCGGGACCACAGTCAGTGATCTGGGGGGAGGGCTCTCAGTGCTACCTGGGTCAAGATCCAGACCCCTGGAGGAGGCCACAGAGCTGTGCGAATCATTACAGCCACATTTCAATCTTCACACCAGCCAGCACCAGAGGCTCATACCTATAATCCTAGCTCCTCAGGAGGTTGAGATCTGAGGATTGTGGTTCAAAGCCAGCCCAGGGCAGAAAAAAAATATCCTGGATTTTTTCTTTTTTTTTTTTTTTGCCAGTCCTGGGGCTGGCACTCAGGGCCTGGGCACTGTCCCTGAGCTTCTTTTGCTCAAGATTAACACCCTACCACTTCTGGGTATGTGGTACTGAGGAATCAAAGCCAGGGCTTCATGCATGCTAGGCAAGCACTTTACCACTGAGCCATATTCTCAGCCCCTGGAAACTCTTATCTCCAATGAACCAGCCAAAAAAACCCAAAGTGGACCTGTGGCTCAAGGGGCAAGGTAGCAGCCTTGAGTGGAAAAAGCTAAGGGATGGTGCCAGGCCCTGAGTTCGAGCCCTCTCCAGCTGGTCCGATCAGCGTTGGGAAGAAGAGCCTGGAGAGCCCACTGCAGGGGTTTCTGAGCCCCTGCCTGCCGGCCGACCTGTCGGGTGGTTTTCCTGTCACCTCCTAAGTGGTCTCTCTCCCCTCTGTCTGGGTCTTTCTCTTTCTTTCTCTGTCTCTGTTTCTATCCTGGCCAAGTCCCAATCTTCTCTCTGCTCTGTCCATAGGATTAAGAAGCATCTGGAATGGGTGGAGGTTCTGAGCTTTTAGGACCCCCAAATCCACCCAACCCTGCATGACAACTGAATTGTGACTCTAGCATCCCTTCTGAGCCCCGTTCCGGTGCCTTGGCCCCTCTACTCTCCCCACAATCTCATCCTCACTGGACCCAATGATGTGTATGTTAGGGGGGTTGGGGAGCTGAAGACCAGAGACACAATGCTACTCACACAAAACCACACAGCAAAGAGCGGCACGAGACCCAAATGTAAACTGTGTTTCACTCTAGAATGGCCGTCCTCCGCTCCAAGCAGTGACCACCCTGTCCACACCGCTCCCCGTCCGCCACCCCACCACCTCCATCCCAAGTCCAACTGGGGGAAACTGAGGCAAGGTGCCAGCAAGGTCACACAGGGTTAGCAGAGAGGCATGCCACACATAGACAATTTGGTTAATAGTTAATTAGGTAGAGGAGACTTCAGATGGGGGGTGGGGATGAGGGTAGGAGGGGTATCTGGAGAGTGGGAAGGGGGGAACCCCTGGGAGTGGAGGGGCTGAGGACAGACAGAACACAGGGGAAGGGTGTCAAAGTCGAGCCAAGGTTGGGGTTCAGAGACAAGTAGCGGACACTCACCCTCCTTCTCCGCCATGTCCCGGACTTTCATTAATGATTCCCGGGCTGGCCTCCTGGGCCGGGGCGGGCCCTGTGGGGAGATGAACAGGGACAGGGGAGACAGGCCTGGGGGAGACTGGCCCCCCCCAATTCTAGGCATCCATCTAGGTTCTAGTCAGGTCAGGCCTTGGTCATGGCCACAGCTTGGAGGCAGGTTCAAAGATGGGGTCCAAGCAGAGGCTGGGGTGACAGTGAAGATTTTTTGAGGGCTCAGGACCTCTCCCAAAGCTAAGCCTGGGGAGGAGGAAGGGGGGGACTGAAGATCTGAACTCCTGGATTCGACTGCGGGGTTTGAGGGGGGCGGCTGCAGCAGCTGGAGGTCCAGGGCCCAGGGACACAAGCCACGTCTTAGGGGTGTGGGGGGGGAACGACACATGGTGGGAGCCCCTTGTGTGAGGAGTGAGGCTCAGGTGGGCTAGACAGGGGGGTGTGGACACGTCTCCCTGAGTCTGGGGAGTACGGGGCAGGGGGGGGAGCTCTGGGCCTTACCCTGGGGTCCACCGGAGACAGTGCGGATTTGAGATTAGTCTCCAGGCCTGGGCAGGAACATGGTGCTGGCCCCCACAAGAAGTGTGAGGGGGGGGCCTGCAGGGCGATGGCGAAGGCGGCGGGCGGCAGGCAGGGGCGGCAGGGGCAGCGGGGCAGCGGGGCTGGGCTCGGCCTGCTAGGCCCGGGCGGCCTCACCTGAGGAGGAGGGGCGGGGGAAGGGGCGGGGAGGGGCTGGCCCGCGGGATTGGTGACCGCAGAGGCCACCTGGCATTGGGGGCCGGGCTTATTAGAACAAAAAAAAATAAAAAAAAAGAGGGGTGGTGGTGGTGGTGGGAGGAGGCTGGACCTGCAGGCCGGGGCCTCAGGCTTGCAGAGGGGTTCAGGTAGGCCTGAGAACAGGCTGGGGTGAGGGTTGTTTTTTCTTTTTCCCCAAAGCTGGAAGAATCTGAGTGGAAGGTTCTAGAAGCACATGCTAGCCCCCTTGGCCTATGAATCCCCAACCACCTCCTGGGTCACAGCCCCCCCTCCGTCCCTAGTCCCGCCCCTCCCCCAACCCCTTTCCTAAAAGTCACGGGGTTGACCTGGTCAGCCGGCTGCAATGACCTCTGGGGCCCAGAAAGTCCTCCACTGGGGGAAGGGAGGGAGGAGGGAGGACTTGGCCCGGAAAAGGTGACACCAAGTGCTAAGGGCCAGGCCAAGTGGCCGGAAGGGACTAGAGGCAGATGGCAGCACGCTGTCCAGCCAGCAGGCCAAGCGCCGTCCACCGCTGACCCCGCACCACACAAACACAGCGGGCAGGCGGGGCCTCGGGCCGCAGCCTCCTCCCCAAGCTGGCTGACCCCAGAGCGATGCACCGCTGGGCCTGGACCAAGCTCTGATCACCCCCCTCTAGTGCTCAGCCTGGCTGAGGGCTTTCTATGTGTATGTGTGTGTGGGGGGGGGGTACTGGGACTTGACCTTAGGGCCTGGGCACTGTCTCTTAGCAGTTTGACTCCAAGATGGCTCTCTACCACTTGAACCACAGTTCCACTTCTGTTTTTTTGGCGATACACCCAGTCTGGCCTTGAACTGATCCTCAGAGTTCAACCTCCCAAGTGGCCGGAATTACAGGTGTGAACCACCACACCTAGCAACCCCAGGCCTGAATGTCTCTTTCTCTTTTTCCTGTCTTCTCTCTTCTCCTCCCTCTCCTTCCTTCTCCCTTTCCTCTTTCCTCTGGAGACCCTCACGGAACTACTGTACCCTATCAACGATGTTGCCCTCCATGGTATCCCCAGGCTTCAGAGCCAACTCTGGGATCCCCGACTGTACCCCAAATGGGTGCTGCCTGGCTCACACCTCTCATCTAGCTACTTAGGAGGCTGAGACCTGAGGATCACAGTTCAAAACCAGCCTAGGCAGAAGTCTCCCTCATCTCCAATCAATCAACCAAAAGCCAGAGGTGGAGCTGTGGCTCAAGTGGTAGAGCAGCAGCCTTGAGCGGAAAAAGCTCAAGGACAGCATCTAGGTCCTGAGTTCAAGCCCTAGTTCTTGCACACAAAAAAATAAGGCTGAGACTTTACGGTTTGGGGCTAAACATAGGATGAGAACAGAAGCGGGGGGAGGAGGAAGAGGAGGAGGAGGAGGAGAGAGGGAAAGGGAGAGAGGCAAATCAAGTCCAAGAATCTTTATTTCCAGAACAAAACTACTTCTGTAAAGAGAGATGAAGCCCCTCAGTGGGCTCAGACCAAGGCTGGTGAGAGGGAGGATGGGGGGGCACCGAGGCGGGAATGCATTACAGGAAGGGGGACCCCAGGTCCAGCCGGAGGAAGCAAGGAGAAGATGATGATGCTAGGGGGTCCAAGGATTGGGAGGGAGGGAGGAGAAGGCCCAGAACCTTCTGTCCCCACAGTCCTGGCCCATGCCAACCCCCTTGCTGGGCAGGGCCAGGGAGCAGGGATAAGAAAGGGCTGGCCTAGCAGTGTGTGTCTGGAGCGGCCAATGTGTGCAAATTAGCAAAAAGAGGGGTGCGGAGCCATTGGCCCCCCCACACTGCCTCACCACCCTTCCCCTCCCACAGGCAGCAGAAGCAGGGGCTGGGGGACATGGCCAGTATTGCTTTACCCATCATGCACAGCGGCAGGGGGTGGCGGGCAGGAGGGCCACAGAGCAGGAGGAAGAAGGCTGGGTGAGGGGGTCCCCTGCCCTCCCACCCTGGAGGCTCCTTGGCAGATTTCTGAGGCTCATGGAGGCCCAGGGGTGGCCAACCCCCCCTCCATTGTGTATGTGGGGGGAGGCTGTACCCCAATGTTGGCATTAGGGCTGGCTCTTCCTTGAGGTGGCAGCCCAGGGCCTAAAGGGAAAGGGAGAGATGAGGGGGGGGTTAGAGGACCGACGCCCCTTCTCAGATGCCCCCACCACACTCCCCCTGTGCCCACCGGACTCACCTGGGCTACTGAGCAACCTGGACGACCGTACAGTTCTCTTTGCTCTCCGAAGTGATGGCTAAATATTCCGAGCTGGGAGAAAAAAAAAAAAACAAAAAAGACCAAAATGACAGCTCATCATAATCCAGGCTTGGAAAATGGGGAAGGTTGTTGGGGGGTGGCGGTGAGGAGGTGTCTCTCCCTGAGGAACCCTGAATCCTAGCTACTCAGGAGGCTGAGATCTGAAGATCACAGTTCAAAACCCAGCCCGGGGGCTGGGAAGATGGCTCAGTGGTAGAGTGCTTGCCTTGCATGCCTGAGGCCCTGGGTTCCATTCCTCAGCACCACATAAGCAAAAAAAAGAAAAAAAAAGCCGGAAGTGGCGCTGTGGCTCAAGTGGTAGAGGGCTAGCCTTGAGCTGAAGAGCTGAGGAACAGCGCCCAGGCCCAGAGTTCAGGCCCCACGACTGGATCAAAACAAAACCCAGCCCGGGGGCAGGAAAGTCCGGGAGACTCTAATCTCCAAGGAACCACGACTAAGCTGGAAGTGCAGCTGTGGCTCCAAGTGGTAGAGGACCAGTCTTCAAGGACTATACCCAGTCCTTGAGTTCAAGTCCTAAGACTGGCACAAAACAAACAAACAAACAAATAAAAGGGAGGGAATGCTGAGAGCAGCCAGTGGCCCTGGGGCACCGCACTCAGCCTCTCTTTCTGGACCTCTCCCCCTCCTCCATTGTAGCCAATACATTTCTGGTATGCAGGTGGCTTGCTGCTCCCACATCCCCGGCCCAGGTGGTCTGAGGGTGCTGGTGGCTGCAGCCCTGCCTGACTCACGCGTTCTCCTGGGCCGCAGCCTCCGTGGCAGCTGCGATCTTCTTGTAGCAGTACACCATCTCGGCCACCAGCCAGATGGTCAGAACCACGATGAGCACATACATCATGATCTCAGACACAATGGACGCCATGTCTCTGTTGGCTGGGGGGACAAAGGAGGGAGAGAGGCCCAAATTCAAGGACACACCTCAGACAGACCCAGTCACACTGTGCATGGACCAGCCGCTTGACCTCTCTGGGCCTAGCATGCACTTTAAATCCTCCTGCTGATTGCCCTATTGCCATGGTGACCGGGATGATTGACAACCAAGCCCCCAATGGCCTGGGAGTGGGGGTGTGACTTCAGGAAGTATCTGTGACTTCCAGGGGGCAGTACAAAGCCTCAGGTTCAAATCCTGAGTCTGCTACTTGCCAGCTGTGTGATGTTGGGCAGGTGACACAACCTCTCTGCACTTGTTTTTCCATTCTCAAAAAAAAAAAAAAATGGGGCTGGGAAGGTGGCTCAGTGGTAGAGCACTTGCCTTGCATGCATGAGGCCCTGGGTTCGATTCCTCAGCACCACATAAGCAGGAAAAAAAAAAAGCTGGAAGTGGTGCCGTGGCTCAAGTTGTAGAATACTAGCCTTGAGCTGAAGAGCTGAGGAACAGCGCCCTGGCCCAGAGTTCAGGCCCCACGACCGACAAAAAAAAAAAAAATTAAAAAAAAATGCTCATAAATGCTCATGCCTATAATCCTAGCTACTCAGGAGGCTGAGATCTGAGGATCAGAGTTCAAAGCCAGCCCAGGTAGGAAAGTCCGGGAGACTCTTATCTCCAATAAACCATTAGAGAACCGGAAGTGGAGCTGTGGCTTGATCAAGTGGTAGAGCACTCGCCTTGAGCTGAAAAGCTGAGGGACAGCGCCCAGGCCCAGAGTTCAAGTCCCACAGCCAACAAAAAAAAAAAAAAAAAAGTGCGTAACTACAATAGATTCTCACTGAAGTGCGGTGAGAATCCTCAGAATAAGCTGGACACTGGTGGCTCATGCCTGTCATCCCAGCTACTCAGGAGGCTGAGATCTGAGCATCACAGTTCAAAGCCAGCCTAGGCAGGAAAGCCTGTGAAAAAGCTCAGGGATAGTGCCCAGGCCTTGAGTTCAAACCTCAGGATTAGCACCAAAAACAAAAACAGGGTAAGGGGAGGGAGAGCAGAAGCCCCTCCCCCAGGAGTAAGTGGCAGTCTGGGTGAGGGGCAGGCCAGGAGGCTGGCAGGAAAGCGCAGGTGCCCGGATGCTGGCTATGCGGGCTGCTGGCCCAAGGGACTCGTCTGCCAGGACTCTTCACTGGCGTGGAGCCTGGAAATGGTTCCCTGAGTCTCTGCGCCAATGGGCCCTGGAAAATTCCAGTGTATGCCAGTCAGAAGCTGGGCTCCAGTGGCTCACTCCTGTAATCCCAGCAATTTAGGAAGTTCAGATGTGAGGACCCCGGTTCAAAGCTAGCTCAGGCAGGAAAGTTGGTAAGACTCATCTCTAATGGACCAACGAAGAACTGGAAGTGGAGCTGTGGCTCAAGTTCAAGACCAAGACCAGCATGCACACAAAAAAATAAAAATAGGGGGGCTGGGAAGGTGGCTCAGTGGTAGAGTGCTTGCCTTGCATGCATGAGGCCCTGGGTTCGATTCCTCAGCACCACATAAGCAGAAAAAGCTGGAAGTGGCGCTGTGGCTCAAGTGGTAGAGCACTAGCCTTGAGCTGAAGAGCTGAGGGACAGTGCCCAGGCCCAGAGTTCAGGCACCATGACTGGCAAAAAATAAATAAATAAATAAAGATAAAAATAGGCCAGGATCTTGAACAGCTAAAGGGCCAGGAGGGATCAAAAACATTACACACTGCTGGGCACTGGTGGCTCACGCCTGTCATCCTGGCTACTCAGGAGGCTGAGATCTGAGGATCGTAATTCAAAGCCAGCAGGAAAGTCCGGATGGCACCCAGGCCCTGAGTTCAAGCCTCATGAGTAACCAAAAAAAAAAAAGTTATTTTCCAAACCCACAAGGCCTCGTTTGACCTCAGATCTTCTCTCCCCTTCTCTGCTGTGCACCTGGGCATGGAGCCAGCCTGTCCCCAGCCCGCCATCTGTCCCTCCGTGATGCTCGTGAGGCTGGGCAGCGGGTAACACGCACATGGGGGAAGGAGGGCCGGCCGCACCTTTATCCACCACCTCCAGGTGAATCTTCTTCACCACCGTGGTATTGTGCTCGTAGTTATCGAAGAAGAGCAGGCGGTAGACGTGGCACTCGTAGTCGCCGGAGTGGTTGTAGGTGACGTTGGTGATGAAGATGGAGAGATCCTGCAGGTCCTTGGTGCCCCGGCTGCCGTTCCACACCACCCGGCCCTCGAACCGCTCATCGTCCTCTAGCTGAAGCACCTCGTTCTCATAACGCAGGATCTGGGGGTACCCAAGGGGAGAGGAAGAGAAGGGCCACTGCTTGGGACTGTCTTTCCCACCCATAACCTGACCCCAATCTTGTGGCCCGATCTGACCCACACAAACACAAGATGTGCCCACACACCTGGGCACAGAGATTGTCCTTGGGCCTTGGGCCAAGACACACATGCCCACTCCCAAACCCCTCTCGCTCTTTACTTCTTCCCCCGGCACCAGCTGCGAGAGACACTCCCTGCCCCCCAACCACTGTCCAGCAGGTGCTGCCGTCATGCAATTCAAAAATACAAGCCAGGTCACCAGTAGCTCGTGCCTGTAATCCAAGCTACTCAGGAGGTTGAAATCTGGAGGAGTCCAGTCCCAAGCCAACAAGAGGGAAAAAAAAAAATTCATGAGACTCCATCTTCAATCAAGCAGCAAAAAACCGATCTGGAGGCAGGGCTCAAGAGGTACAACGCTAGCCATGAGCCAGAAAAAGAGAAAGCTCAGGGAGAGCATGAGGTCCTGGGTTCATGAACAGAATCAACACACATTTAAAAAATAAATAATGGGCTGGGAAGGTGGCTCAGTGGTAGAGCACTTGCCTTGCATGCATGAGGCCTGGGTTTGATTCCTCAACACCACAAAGAAAAAAGAAAAAAGCCAGAAGTGGCGCTGTGGCTCAAATGGTAGAGCACTAGCCTTGAGCTGAAGAGCTGAGGGACAGCGCCCAGACCCAGAGTTCAGGCCCCACGACTGGACCCCCAAAAAATAAAATAAAATAAAATAAAAAATAAATAAAAATAAAACACACATTGTACAGAAAACATAGGAAAAGTTTTGCTTTTGTTCCATGATGACAATCTAAGATTTATTTATTTGGTGTCAGTCGTCTGGCTTGAACTCAGGGCTTAGGCTCTGAACCTGAGCTTCTTTTGCTCAAGGCTAGTGCTCTACCACTTGAGCCACAGCATCACTTCCGGTATACTGGCGATTCCCTAGGGATAAGAATCTCATGGACCTTCCTGTCTGGCCTGACTCTGAACCTCCATCTTTAGATCTCAGCCTCTGCGGTGGCTGGGAGGACAGGTGTGAGCCACCAGTGTTGCCAAAGATGATTTTACTGGTGCCAAAGAGTTCCAGTGACCTTTCTTTCCAGTGACCTTTCTTTCCAGTGACCTTTCTTTCCAGTGACCTTTCTTTCCAGCCAGCCAGATGCCACATGACTTCCTTCACCTCCCACTGCCTCCCCACCACTGCAGAACAGGAAACTGAGGCTTGGAGACTCTCTGTGAACTGCCCAAGTTCACTAGAGGGTCAGCGTTATAACCAGAATTGGAACCTAGGTCATTCATCAGAGCTGATTATGATTATCTTGTTTTGTTTTGTTTTGGCATGAGGGATCCAACCCAGGATGTTGTACTTGCTAGGCAAGCACTTTGCCACTTAATTCTGATTTTATAGTAGTAAAACGATACTGGGTGCCAGGGGCTCATGGCTGCAATCCCAGCTACTCAGGGGGCAGAGATCTGAGGATTATAGTTCAAAGCAGGACACTCAAGGGAGATTTACTTCTAAGGAACCAGCCAACAACCAGAAGTGAAGCTGAGGCTCCAGTGGTAGAGCGTCAGCCTTGAATGCAAAAGCTCAGGGACAGTGCCCAGGCCCTGACTTCAAGACCTAGGATTGGAGCAAACAGAGAAGCAGTCTTCCTCCTAAGCTTGAAATCCTCACACATGCCCTGGCCCTTGGGTGCCAGGCCCTGGCACACCTTGACGAAGTCTTCCGTGCCCTTCTGGCGGAAGGTCCATTCGGTGAAGGTCTCCGCGGTGGTCTCACTGCGCCGCTTGCAGGAGATGCACAGGATTTTGAAGGTCATCCCGTACACGGCCTCCGTCTCCGAATCCACCTCCACGCAGCCTCCCCAGGCGGAGGACACTGTGGTGACAAGGGGGCTGGGTCAGCCCAAGTACCTGGCAGCTCACACCCGACATCCTAGCTACCCAAGAGGCTGACATCTGAGCATCGTGGTTCAGGACCAACTCTGGGCAGGAAAGTCTGTGAGACTCTTATCACCTATGAACCAGCAAAAAGCCGGAAGTAGAGCTGTGACTCAAGTGGTAGAGCACCATGCTGGAGCACAAAAAGCCAACAAAAAGCCCTGAATTTCAGTCCCACGACTGGCACATAAACAATAAACAGGGGCTGGGAATGTGGCTCAACATGAAGCCCTGGATTTGATTCCTCAGTTACCACATCCACAGAAAAAGCTAGAAGGGACGCTGTGGCTCAAATGGTAAGAGCGCTTGCCTTGAGCACAGAGAGGCTCAAGGACAGTGCCCAGGCCCTGAGTTCAAGCCCCAGGACCAGCAACATAAATAAATAAATAAAGTTCTTTTCCTGCCCCCGCAGCTCCCCTGGACTCCCAGGTCTTCTGAGACCCTCCTCACCGGCTTCCCTGCTAATGCTGGGGCTCCAGCTCCAGCTCTGGGTCTTTCCCTGGTCTCCAAACTCCCATCTTTAATCTCTTATGTTCCAGATTCAGCTCCCCTGGGACCTCTTTTCAGTGCACCTCATCTTTATTTCTCTTTGGAGGGGTCTTTCCTGGCTCAGATTTTCCTAAGGAAGGGGGGAGGGGGTCTCCTCTCTCTCTCTCTTTCACCTTGGCAATGTCTCTCCCGTTTTACTTATTTTTATTTTTGATTTTTTTTCGCCAGGTGTGGAGACTTGAACTCAGGGCCTGGGCGCTGTCCCTGAACTTCTCCGCTCAAGGCTGCCTGCCGCCACTCTTACCACTTGAGCCACAGCTCCACCTCTGGCTTTCTGGTGGGTCACTGGAGATCGGAGTCTCAAGGACTTTTCTGCCAGGGCTGGATTTGAACCTCCATCCTCGGATGTCAGCCTCCTGAGCAGCTAGGATGCCAGGCGGGCCGGGGCCGCCTCGGCCTCTTCCCTTTTGTCAACTCCACTGGGCCTGCCCTCCCTGGGCCTCGACCTCCCTGTCCTCCTCCTCCCGCAACCTCCATCTCCCCCTGCCTCTCTCAACTTTCCCTCACCAACTCCTCTCCCTCCCTCCCTCTCTCTCTAGCTGTCAGGCTCAGCACCCCAATCTCCCCGAGGAGAACTTGGGGGGGGACGCTGGCCGGGGGGTCCTCCATCTCTGGCCTCCTCCCTCCCCTCCCCCCCCGTCCCCCGCAG